CAAACTTGGCAATAGTATATTTACCTTCCTCACCCTAGTCGATTATAATGTGAATAATTGCACCCCCGTACTGATCCTTGTGGCGCATCACTTATTTATAGGTTGACAGATTGGCTAAGAAGACTGTTTCAATCTTCTATCTATGCTAATATACTGCCTCCAATACTGTGGGCTCTTGTCTTAAGTAGCCTAATGTGTGGTACCTGATCAAATCCCTGTATGATAATCCAGATATTTTATCCATAACTTTCCTTTAATCTATCCTGCTTGTTACCTCCCAAGAATTCTAGTAAATATGCCAGACATTTGCCCTTTGTGTAGCTGTACTGACTGACTGTGCTTGACTAAATTATGAACAGACTCTAATATTTTCCAAATAATGGATATTAATCTAATTTGTCTGTAATTGTTTGTTTTTTAATGATCTCCTTTCCTTTTTAAATAAAGGTGTTACATGGCAGATTTCCAATTCTCTGGGACATTTCCAGAATCGAAGGATTTCTGGAAGATTAGTACATGCATTGGTAGTATCTCTGTAGCTACTTTCTTTATATCTTTAAGATGTATTGCAGTAGGTTAAGGGAAGATATTAGTCTTTAGGTCCATTAGCTTCCCTAGCATTTTTTTAAAATCAAATGACAGTTATTGTATTCATTTCCTGGCCTTTTGCTCCTTGAATATTTAATAGTTGTATTCTATGAAGTCTGCAGAATATTTATTCAACTCCTCTGTCATTTCCTGTTCTCTATTATTTCCTCAGCCATCACCTTTTAAGGGGCCTATGTTTACTTGGGCTTCTTTCTTCCTTTTATACATGAAAAGAAGCTTTTTCTGCCCTCCTTGAAATTACTTGCAAGTTTAATATTATTTGAATCTTAAATCCCACCAGCTCCCTCATAAGGTTTGTCCCCATGGGCAATATTTCATGGGTATCGTGGATTCCATTCCACATAGTCGTACAGAAACAGAACCTTCGGTCTAATTTGTCCATGCCAACCAGGTTTCCCAAACTAAACTAATTCCACTTGCCTGCGTTTGGACCATTTCCCTCTAAAGCTTTCCTATTCACGTACCTGTCCAAGTGCTTTTTAAATACTGTAACTGTATCTGCACTAACCACTTCCTGTGGCAGTTCATTCCATATATACATCACTCTCAGTGTGGAAAAGTGGCCCTTCAGGGCCTGTTTATACCTTTTCTCCTCTCTCCTTTAAACCTATGCCCTCTGTCTGGCAGAAAGTAGAGAGTGGGGATAAAAGGGTCTTTCTCAGGATGGCAGCCGGTGACGAGTGATGTTCCGCAAGGGTCAGTGTTGGGACCGCAACTTTTCACTTTATAGATTAATGATCTAGATGAAGGACCTGTGGGCATTCTGGCTAAGTTTGCAGACAATACAAATATAGATAGTGACAGGTCGTATTGAGGAGGTGGGGAGGCTGCAGGAGGATTTGGACAAGTTAGGAGAGTGGGCAAAGAAGTGGTAGATGGAGTATAACATGGAAAGTGTGAGGTCATGCACTTTGGTAAGAAGAATAAAAGCATGGACTATTTTCGAAATGGGGAGAAAATTCAGAAGTCTGAAGTGCAAAGAGACTTGGGAGTTCTAGTCCAGGATTCTCTCAAGGTAAACTTGCAGGTTGAGTCAGTAGTCAGGAAGGCAAAAGCAATGTTGGCATTTATTTTGAGAGGACTTGAATATAAAAGCAGGGATGTACTACTGAGGCTTTATAAGGCACTGGTCAGGCCACATTTGGAGTATTGTGTGCTGTTTTGGGCCCCATATCTCAGGAAGGATGTACTGATCCTGGAGTGGGTTCAGAGGAGGCTCACTAGAATGGTCCCAGGAATGAAAAGCTTAACATCTGAGGAACGTTTGAGGGCTCTGCGACTATACTCATTGGAGTTTAGAAGGATTGGTGGCGGGGGGGGGGGGGGGGGGGGTGATCAGTTGAAACTTAGAATACTGAATGGCCTGGACAACGTGGAGGTTGGGAAGATGCTTCCATTGGTAAGAGAGACTAGAACCCGAGGGCACAGCCTTCGGGTAAAGGGAAGACCTTTTAGAACGGAGATAAGAAGAAACTTCTTCAGCCAGAGAGTGGTGAATCTATGGAATTCACTGCCACAGAAGGCTGTGGAGGCTAGGTCATTGAGTACATATAAGACTGAGATAGATAGGTTCTTGTTTATCAAGGGTTACAGGGAGAAAGCAGGAGAATGAGGTTGAGGAACTTACCAGCCATGATTGAATGGCAGAACAGACTTAATAGGCCGAATGGCCTAATTTCTGTTCCTATGTCTTATGGTCTTGCAGTTTTGAATTTCCCCGACCCTAGAGAAAAGACCTTTTTGATATTCACCTTTATCTATGCCGCTCATGATTTTATAAATCTCTAAGATCATCCCTCACTCTCCTATGCTCCAGGGGAAAAAAGTCCCAGCCTAACCAGCCTCTCCTTATAACTCAAAACCTTTAGTTCCAGTATCATTCTCAAATCATTTTTGCATTCTTTCCCATTTAATAATATCCTTCCTATAGCAGGATTAGGTGGGGAATGCATCCCTAGAGCCAGTTAAATCTCTGAAGAGGAAGATTGATTTGCTGACCTTCACTAGGGCTGTAGTCATGCCTGGCAAACTGTTAGCCAATCTGGTGGTAACTTTGGCTCTAGTGTTCTTGTGACAGCAGTTACCATGACTTGGACCACAGGTAATCCTCAGATTCTTAGTCCTGAAATCTGGGACCACTTGAGTGTGGGATATGTGGGCAAGGGAGGTGAAGCTCTGAGGGCATGGAGAGTAGGTTAGGAGAAAGTGTGGGTCTTGATGGAAAGGTGGATATCATCTTCCAGAAATCCAAGTTTCTGTTTGTGATGACCCATCAGGCATCTCATCAACCACCAAATTCCTGTTAGCCTCAATAACTGGCCACGAAGGGACTCTATTCAAATGAGGATAGGCCCTAAGCCTTGTCAACAGACCAGAATTGTACACAGTACTAGGTGGCCTCACCAACATCCTGTACAGCCTCAACATGACATCCCAACTCCTGTGGTCGATCTGAGCAATGAAGGCAAACTTGGTAAACGTTGCTTTAATCAAACACAGAAATTTCTGGAAAAGCTCAGCACATCTGGCAGCATCTGTTAAGAGAAATCAGAGTTAATGTTTTGGGTCCAGTGACCCTTCCTCAGAACTCTTACCTATGCTGTCTACTCGTAATGCAACTTTCAATGCACCTTGTACCTGAACCCCTAGGTGTCTGTTTGACTGCACTACCGAGGACGCTACCATTGACTGTATCAGTCTTACTCTTGCTTGTTTTACCAAAATGCAATACCTCCTATTTTATCCAAATTAAATTCCCATCTTCCACTCCTCAGCCCATTGGCCCCATTGATCAAGATCTCTTTGTGATCTTGGCTTTCTTCACTGTTGACTATACCACTAATTTACTTTTTTTTTTACTGGACTTCTAGGCACGTACAGAATGGCTCAGACACATTTGTCAATTGACTTGTAAAGCAGCAAATCGGTTTGTGGTTTCAAGTTGATCACCCAAACCAAGTTACTAATGCATTGCATTTAGGCACTTCCTGTTTGTACTCTACACACTACTCCTTCATTATTTGCATCTTGCTGATCACTTTCTGCATATAACGAAGTAGATTTATCAAAATCCCCTTTCAAACCTGTTTTGTTTTTTTTTTGCACGTTTTGTTCTCGTGAGAAAGGCACTCTTCAGTCTGTTTAGTAGTAAAGCCTCTTCTGGCATAAGAAATCTCTTCCTCATTATCTCCACGGCCTTGATGTTTTTCTGAATTTGAACACTTGCAATTGGAGGTAATGTAATATTCTCATAGGGAGGATAATAAGCATGAACCATCTTGTCTTCCTGTCGGGCCCCTGTGCCTTCCTGCTCTTGTCAGTTATTCTTTAATCATTAATGGGATGACCGTGTCGGTGGCTAGGCCAGCATTTATTGCCCATCCCTAATTGCCCAGAGGGCAGTTCAGAGTCAACCACATTGCTGTGGGTCTGGAGACACATGTAGACCAGACCAGATAAGGATGGCAGTTTCCTTCCTTGAAGGACATTAATGAACCACATGGGTTTTTCTGTCAATCAGATGGATTCATGGTTATCATTAGACTCTTGATTTCAGATATTTTATTGAATTCAAATTCCACCATCTGCCATGGCGGGTTTCAAACCCGGCTCCTTGGAACGTTATCTGGGTCTCTGGATTAACTGTCCAGCAATAATGCCACCAGGCCCATCACCTCTCCTACCTTTTGCTCTACCTTAAAGCCCCCTGTTGGTTCTGCCATTTAAACTGACAGATCTTTGAGTGATTCTACATAACTTTGCAGGTATCTTTTAATATCTTGGTATCAGTTCAATTTGAAATAGAACAGGCAGGAATTATTTTGAAGTGTTTTGTCTTAATGTTTCTTTACTGATTTAAATTTCTTGTTAAATTTATGTTTACAGAATTTAGTATTTCTGTATTAATGAGGAAATAAAGCTTCAACTAAGCTCTTACTAATTGAATTTGATATTAGCCTTGTATTGTTTCCAGCTTGCTATTCTGGATCTAAATATCTAAATTTCTAGGAATGCTTTGGAATGATCAAGCTTAAAGGTAAAAAGAAAGAAATAAGGGTTTTAACAGTATATAATCTGCGTCAATCTGATGTTATGGAAGTTGGTGGGGGTGCTATTGGTGTAGCTTTGTGGACTAAATCTTGCTTCAGTCAAGTATAATAGCAATCTTACAAATGGTCTGGTTTGGTTGTTTTGGAGTCTGTTTCCCAGACAGAGTTTGTGGGGTGGACTGAAAATGTTGGCAAGACATCAGCCAATGAAGAAATCTGCAGATAATATTAGATGTCCAACAAGGTCAGAAATCTAAGGCAATGAAGGGATTGAACGGTGAGGTAGAAGTTGGTGTCATCAGCATACTTGTGGAATTTGTTTTCAGATAATGTTGTCGAAGAGCAGCACCTAAAAGCAAAAATGGTGGAGGCTGAGGACCAACCCTTCTTTCCAGAGGTAAAGGTGTGGGAGTAGAAAGAAACTGTTGCAATTAATTTTCTGGATACAGTGAGATAGATGGGAATGGAAACAACAGTATAGTTCCACCCAGTTGCATGACTGTAAACAGGCATTAGAGTAGAATGGTGTGGCTAGCCAAACCAGAGGCTGCTGATGAGTTGTGAATGGCACGAAGAGATAGTTTACTGTGCTCATAATGACATTGTTTTGTCACTTGTGATTTTGAGAACCTTTTCAGTGCTGTGACAGGTGTAGAACCATGAATTGAAGTCAAGCATTGACTTTGGAAAAACTGGCTACAAATTTGGGAAATAGCAAGAAGTTGATGCATTCTGGAAAAGGAAAGGGAGATTGGAATTGGAGTGATAATTTGCATGGGTGCTGATGCCTGTGTTGTTGTCTTTTTTAAAATGAAGTAATGTTAATTTTAAAACAGTGCAGGCCTGAGGAGAGGGAGTCATTATTTATTGGCTAACATAAGGACTAAGGAAGGAAATTTTGTTGGTCCGGTTTAGCCTCATGGGCAGAGGAGCTGATTAAGACAGCTAAACATATGGTCTCAACATTAGTGACAAGAGAATTCCTTGCTTGTGGATGTGGAGGAGAATTTTTATGAATTTGTAGAGAGAATCTGGAGTAGTATTCTGGTGCAGTTAAATTAGTCCTCTTCTTTGTCAACTTCGTCTTTTTATTTTGTCTCCTTAATCTTGATCTCCTTAATCCTTAATCTTAATCTTAATCCTTAATCTTGAAAGACATTGTGTAATCACATGAAACAAGCAATATATTGTAGATACTAGAAAGTATCCATTCTGGCATTTGATTGTTCCTGTCCTGTACCCTAATGGAGATTATTATTTTTTTTTTTTGCTGCTTATACTTTATCAACTGGCCTTGTACATATTTAATAGTTAAATCTATAACTCTTTCCAGATCTGATGACTGGTCATCGGCTTGAACTACTAAATTTGTTACTTGCTGCTTAGATGCTGTCTGACCTTATTTTAATCAAATAAATTCAATTTCACTGAACTAGATTTTGAAAGTTTGCTTTATGATCAATATGTCCTAAGCCAGTTACAAGCGTGTAATGTGGTATATTTTAAGCAAAAGCTCCTCCAGTAGTTTAATATTTGTCTTGTTCTGTATAATGTGGTGTTTATCATTTTCAAATAAGCATTACACGCTGTTTCTGATGTGATGGGTTCAAGTTTTCAAATCTTAGGTGTTTGGTAGTAGTGTACCAATGTGTAATTCTTCTGCTTGCCAACGTGACAAAAAAATAAACCAAATGCCATTGTTTGTTTCCTTTTCAAAGTGGTTCCTGAGAAGAGACGCTTAAAACAGCTTTTACAATTCTTGAACATTTGATTGGGAACTTTATTTCCAGCATGGATGTTGTTGAAATGAGCCACCCAAGCTTCAATGTCAACCGGCCGGTTTTTAATCAGGAGACTTTAGAAGCCTATCTACATAGGAAGGAGAAACCCAAGCTACCTAGAAGCGCAAAGCTATTTCGGTATTTTCGGTATGTTTTGTTTGTAAGTTGCTGTTTATGGTGAGCTTCAGTGTTTATAAACTAAAATGGAGTAAGACTACTTGGAATGACAGTTTGTCTATTGAATTTTTTTTTGTTTTCTCTGACACTATGTAATCGGTTACCTTTCTTCTGAAGCCATTTGTGTTACTGTCCAAATGAGTAACCTGCTCTGTTGCTAGCTACCAAAACATAGAATAAAGGGAAATCAACTGCTATACCCCTTTCTGAAGAAGGGTCCCAACCCGAAACGTCAACGTTAACTTTCCTGCTCCTCTGATGCTGCCTGGCCTTCTGTGCTCCTCCAGCTCTACACTGTTATCTCTGACTCCAGCATCGGCAGTTCTTAACTATCTGTGCTATATCAAGTTTCTCTTTCCAAACTGTCCCTCAAGAGGGATGTGTAAGTTGGAAGTTGTAGCGCAGTGTAATCTAGTTTTGAATTCACAAGTTGTTGTGGGACTGGTTATGTGAATTTTTTTTAATCTTTGCTGATAAACGTTATCTTGTTGGAAGACTTATTTAAGTATTTTCCTTGTGAAAGAATAAGGAAATTAGTTCTGTGCGTGTTCAATGACCCTTGTTTTACTGTTGCGCCTTTGACTCATCAGCAAAACTATTTTTCTTTATTGAAGGCAACACCCAAGCTCAGTATGCAGTTCCATTGTCCATATAACAAGTTAATCAAATATTGCTTCATAAACAGGACCTACTTTGAATTTACAGAAAGTAAATTCCTTTTTTTTGAAAGAAAAAGTACACCTTTTTTAATGGATTTCAATGATGATTGTGGGTGTTCATGCCCTGACTCCTTGTTTCAGAATTAGCCAAGCAATTTCCGATCAGACATGACTCAAGTGGATGATTCGACCTAGCATCACAGACACCAGTCCTTCAGCCAATCCGATTCACTTCACTTCACTTCATGTGATATCAAGAAATGGCAGACAGCACCGGGTGCTGCAGAGGCTCCTGGCATTGACAGGAATCCAGCCGTGTTACTGAAGATTTGTGTTGCAGAACTTGCTGTGCCCTTGGCTAAGCTATTGTAGTACAGCTGCAACACTGGCACTTACTCCTCACTCACAGAGCTGAATTCCAGAGGTGAGATGAGAGTGACTACCCTTGACATCAAGGCTATACTTCAGCTACAGTGGCATCAAGGATCCTGAACACGACTGGAGTCACATTTCAGCGCAAGGAAAGCGGTTATGGTAGTTGGAGGTCAGCAATCTCAACTCTAGGATATCTCTGCAGGAATTCCCCAGGATAGTGTTGTAGGCCTAATGTTCTACAGGTACTACATCAAGACTTCCCTCCATCATAATGTCAAATGTGGGAATGTTTGAATCTGCAATACTCATACCATTTGTGACTCCTCTGACACTGATGCAGTTCATATCCAAATGCAGTAAGGCCAAGACCGTATCCAGAACCAAAACAGAAATTGCTAGACGTGCTGAGCTTTTCCAGCAGCTTCTGTGAAGAGAAATCAAAGTTAATGTTTTAGCTCTGGTGACCATTCCTTTGAATCATACCCAGACTTGGACTAAAAAGTGGAAAGTAATTCATGTCATGCAATGACCGTTTCCAACGAGAGACTAATCATTGCTCCTTTGCCATTCAGTGGCAATTCTATCACCAGCTCTCAACATCCAGGTAGTTACTATTGACCAGAACCTGAAATATATTAGCTGCATACATATTGTTTCTTTGAGAGCAGGTTAGAGGCTCCCAATCCACCAGTCATTTAGCTCAGATCTGAACTCACTAATTCCTGTCTATGATCTATGAGGCACAAGTCAGGAATCGCTACTTGTCTGGATGAGTACAGGCCCAACAGTACTTGAGCAGTTTGCCAGCCGGGGCAAATCAGCGTACTTGTTTGTGAATTCTGGTGTCAAATCATTTGCTCTCTCCTCCACTAATGTTAAGTAGCAGCAATGTGCACCATTTACAAGCTGCACTGGGGGTATTTATTCATGTCTCCATAGATTGCACTTTACAAACTACACCTGTCTAAAAGGCTGAGGTCAGCAGGTACATAACCACACTGGCAAATTCCCACTCCTAGTCACTGTCCATTCTGACTTGGAAATAGATGGCCAGTCCTTCAGTGTTAGGCTCAAAACCTGTAACACTCTCCTTCACCATATCGTGAATGTACCTACACCAAATCAACTGCAGTATTTCAAGAAGGCAGCTTGACACCACCTTGTGGCAATTAGGGATACACAATAGATGCTGGTAAGCCCACGATGCTCATTTTATGAATTTTTTAAAAAAGGCCAGCAAAGGGTGCACTGTATTTGGTTTGTCAGTTTGATTGTTTATATACCAATGTAGTTAATGGGCTGTAATACATTGGATTAACAGATTAATTGATGTCTTGTTCTCTCCAATGTTAACATGCCTACCATTTAGCATAAGAATTATAGAATCGTATAATGCAAGAGGTGTCCTTTTGTCCCATGCTTTGCACTTTTCCCTGTCATCCTTTGTATTTTAGTCTTCAAATATGTATCCAGTTGTCTTTTGGAAGCTCCTCAAGTCTACTACCCTCATCTCGGGGCTGCAACATGTAGGAGCAGAAATAGGCCATACTGTCGTCATCCATTTAGTGAGATGATGGATGCTCGGATAATCCTCAGCTCCACTTTTTTCAGCCTTTTCCCATAACCTTTTAAACCGTTATTGATTAAAATTCTGTCTATCTCAGCCTTGAATATACTTGATCCAGCCTCAACAGCTCTATGGTAAACAGTCCCAAAGATTTACAACATCGAGAGAAGAAATTCTTCCTCATCTGCCTTAAATGAGTGACCCTTACTCTAAGTCGTAATTACTCTTATCCTGACAACACCAGCTAAACAAGTTAATTCTAGTGAATGGTGAAGAGAGTAAATTTCAAGAAGTTGTACCAAAGCTGCTTAGGGCACTGTGAAAGGAATACCTTGCCTTCTGCCTTGTCAGCATGCTATTTTGGTTCTATTTACTTAGCTGCAATACAGCTTATTTATTTTGTTTTCTATAGTTGCTCATCCAAGAGGGCCAAGTCAATACTCTTCAGGTTTGTTCCCATTCTGGAATGGCTACCCCAATATCCAGTGAAGGAGTATATGTTCGGAGACATAATTTCTGGTTTGAGCACTGGAATGATGCAGCTACCTCAAAGTAAATATGAAAATGATTTATGTTTTTAAAGTGAAAATGTTTGAGAACCATTAAATTTTATTTTGCTTAGTATTTTAGGTTTAAACAATGGTCTCCCCCATATTTAGTTGGATTGTATGGCATGAGATGTACTTTCTCTATTCTACCTACACGCTGCCAAAATTTATTACACAACGTGTAAGTTTTGTACAAACAGGAGGAAAAAAATAGAGTCTGTATGTTCTTTGTAATTGCCGTCTGTTGAATTGCACATAATCGTGGATCTTTTCAAAAATATAAATATTAAGAAACTAAGCCAGAAGGCTAAGAACCACAACACTGAAAGAGATCAACAACAGTGAGACTAAAAGATAAAAGTAAATTTTGGAAATACTTGTCAGACAATGTGAAATTTGAAATTTTATAAGATAGTCATGCCATAGAAGTTTTGAGCTACAAAGTTTCTCAGTCTCCCAATCTCCCCCCTGCCTCTCTCCCTTTCCTTCTTGCTGCCCTTCTCTTTCTTCTACCCCTTCTTAACAACCACCACCTTTGAATCACACTCCATAACACACTGACTTGTATTTATGTATATCACCACCTCAGGACACTTGGTGTTCAATGGACTACTTTGAGTGTAGTCAATGAACAGCAACAAGCTCCTATTATAATCTCTCGGATGTAGGTAACATTAAAAAGTTAAGTTTTCAGTTGATAATTAAAAGAATGGCAAGATTTCACTACTTAAACTTTTACTGTAATAAATAACAAAGTATCAATTAAACACTATTGTCTACTTTTAAAGAGAGGAGTATTCCCTGTTTTTGCTTATCAAACAGTGGGCTCTCCACATAATTACACTCCTTTTTATAGCAAATCGTGCACTGTAATTCCCATATTCCAGTTTCACCAAGTGTCAACTTAGTGACTGTCCCCATAAAATTTCCTCTTTTCAGAAAGCTGCTGAATCCAAACCAGGAATAAAATCCGCTCTGATTGCACCAAAGCAAATTTGAATCCTTAAAAGGCTGCGGGATTTGTCTCTTTCACTAGAACATGTCTCCTGTCTGACTGACTACAGAAGCATGCTGATGGGAGATCAGATTACAGTCAGTGGTTTCCTCTGCCCTCTTCCACATTAGCATTTCTACCTGGAGGTGAGGTTATTTAGCTAACTTTGATCCCAAAGTCCTTTCATCTTTTTTAAAAAAAAATTGACAGGTCACAGCACAATATTTACAGAACTTTGGGAAATTTAGGGTCTACTCCTTGTAAACCTAGGGATTGCTGCCATTGTCTTCAAACATAAAAAAAACTTACACCACCTTATCAGAAGAACTATCTAAGCCACCTTTTGCACTTAACCAAGCAAACCACCCAGGCTTGCAGTCAAGTGGATTGCAGAACAGGTGACATGACACCTTTTTTTCATTCTAAATGTAAAGCCCCATGCACAAAATATGTTAAGTCTCCATTGTTTGTGTTGCAATTAAGTAAATAACCAGCTCATCTCCTTTCAGACACTTGATTGAGGGCTTCTTCAAAGTACCACTCTTAATCAGGTATCATCACTTAAAGTTCCTCTATCATCATCTTCCCATATGTCAGAAATAACCATGCTGGAGCTTCTCTGTGTATTTCTTACACCTCACAATGTGCTTGATATAGTTGATTTTATTATGTCTTGACATATGACTAGTGCAGCAGTGAAATGTGACACCCTAACATGTTTTTAGTTCCTATTTCTTTATGGATAATATGACAACACAACGTTAGTCAATAGACAGAAGGAACAATTTCTAAGTTTCGTTTCCCCTGTAAAGTACTCTATAACATTGCCACCTGAATGCCCATCAAACTATCTGAATACCTTCAGTCTAGTAAAGTTGTTTAGGATCACTTCAATGGCACTAAGCAAAAAGCGGAGTTTTAATAACCAAAATCACTAGAAATACTCAAGTGTGACAGCATTTGTGAGAAAGAAAGAGATTGATATTTTAAATGACCCTTTCATCAGTGCAATAGCATTCAAAACAAAGGACTGTGGGGTGGTGGGCAGTGATTGTAATCTGAAATTACCTAATTGAAAGATGAAATGCCATTCCATTCATTGAGCATCACTGAAACAGTGCAGTAGGTGGAGAGAGCTGGTCTCTTTGACTGAGACCTCTGCCCTCACACTTTTTTTTATTTCACTGTCTTCATACGTTTATTCCACTTCTTTTAATATCACTTCATACAGCAGCACACTGTAAAACAGATTCTTGTCACATCACCCTTGGAGGATGCATTTGGGTAGATTTGCTGCCACTTTTTTCATTTTTTAGATTGAAATCCAAAGGGCCTGGCTAGTCTGGAGTAGTAGAGGGACATGACTTGGTCTTCTAATAAGAAGAGAGTCTTGTCTTAATCATGATATAGTTTGCAAGTTACATTGATATGATGGACATTGTTGCTGAGAGAGACCCTAATCTGATATGGCATCAGATTGGACAGTGTCCAATGCAGTTAGTACTAACACTGCAGAATCTAACATCTACATGCTGTAGATCTTCTGATGTACTTGTTCCATTGCTATTACCTTTGGCCTTCCGACTAAATCTTTAGATACCTCCCATCTTCCAACCTATAACAGACTTTCCTCTAACCTTTTCCCTCCAGCTGCTTGTTCAAACATTATTACATTTCTAACTTCCTAATTCTGTTGAAATGTCATTAACCTGAAATGCTACTTATTTCTCCACAGACTGCCAGTTGATTACTTCCAGCATTTTCTGATTAAGTTTCCAACACCACCATAATTTGCATTACAGTCTTGGTGGTGTTAATTACTCCAATTGCAAGATATCACTGCCTTAGCAAAAAAAATCACAAATGAGCATTGTTGGGGTACTAACAATGTGGAAATTATAGCACTGATTCTTTTCAACAAAAACTGTTATAATTGATGTTAAAATTATGTTTCTAAATCAATTTTAGCATCTTGTTAACTTTAATGCTACTTCCTAATATAAATAGTTGTACCGTTGACTGATTTGAGCAAGCCAAAAGTGAGCCTCCTGTCCTCTGCAACATTGATTCAATGACCTGTTGTCAGTTATTTTAAAGTGTGTTACATAAATCCAGGCCACTACACCTTTTTAGTTCTAGTCCTTGTAGCAATTTTGGGCAAGATCTCTCATTACTTTCATAGAATATTGAATGATAAAGTTGAATTTTAATAGTTGTGGAAGTACTTTTGACACCTTTTTTAAGTCAACTGAATTATATCTTTATGTATAAATAACTTGACAAACCTAAGAATTGCAACCAATATTTTAACAAAACAAAGAACCTCGGATGCTGAAAATTGAAAACAGAAGGCTGAAAAATGCAGCAGTTCTGGCATAATCTGTAGAGAAAAATACAATTAACATTTCGAGTCCAGTGACAATGACAAACCATGTTAGTTTTGCTTTCTTTTGTTCCTCCATTTAATGGTCTTTTATCTTGTTGATAAATAACACCAGTTGTACTCATTTTTTTTTTCTTTATTCCTTTGTAGGTTTAGCTTATGCCCTGTTGGCAGCTGTGCCACCTGTGTTTGGGCTCTATTCCGCAATTTTTCCTGTTTTGTTATACATGGTCTTTGGGACTTCAAGACATGTATCAGTAGGTATGTTGTATGAGTTTTGATATGTTGATATGTTGGTCTACTTGGTCAGTTTGACAAAATGGCATCTAACATTTAAGAGCATAAGATATAACAGCAAAATTAGGCCATTTAGCCCAAAGAGTCGGCTCCAACGCTTAATCATGATTGAAGTGTTTCTCAACCCCGTTCTTGCCTTTACTTTGTAACCCATGATCCCCATACTAGCGAATAGCCTATCTATCTCTGTCTCAAATGCACTCAATGACTGTGTGCCACAGAGGGGTGTGGAGGTTATGAGATCCACGAAGTCACCACCCTCTGGCTGAAGAAATTCTTCCTCGTCTTGGTTCTAAAGGGTCATCCCTTCACCATGAGGCTCTGATCTTGGGTCCTAGTCTTCACCTTAGTGGAAACATTTTCTCTATCCAGGCCCAGAATCATTCTTTTAAACCTCCTCTGGACCCCCTCCAGCGCTAGCACCTCTTTCCTTCAATAAGGAACTGCTCACAATATTCCAAATACAGTCTGATCAGAGCCTTTTAAAGCCTCAGCAGTGCGCCTCTACTTTTGTTTTCTAGCCCTCTTGAAATGAGTGCCAATTTGCCTTCCTAACCACCAGTTGAACCTGGTCAAGGACTCCCAAGTCCCTTCTGCTGTTCAGATTTCTGAAGCCTTCCCTGGTTTAGAAAAAAAACTACCCCTCTTCTTCCTACCAAAATGTGTGATCTCACACTTTATCACATCATATTCCATCTGCACTTACTTGCCCGATTGCCTAGCGTGTCCATGTCTTTCTGCAGCCTCCTTGCTTCCTTAATACTACCTGTTTTTCCAACTATCTTTCTCATTTGCAAACTTAGCAACAGTACCATCAGTTCCTTCATCCAGATTCTTTGCTTTTGTTTTTAAAAAAGCTATATAAATGTCACAACCAGTAAAAACAAAAGAAATGAAGATTAAAAAGCGTCCTGCAAAGAAAATCAGGGTTGAGCTGTACATGAATCAGTGCAGGGAGTATTACAAACAGAGCAGATGAATTAAAGGTGCACAAACACGTGGCAGCACAATGTTGTTGCCTCAGCAGAAACCTGGCAAAAGGACGGGCAACTTTGGCAGCTGAATATGCCTGGATAGAGTTTTCAGGCAGGATTGAGTGGGTGAGAAAAGAAGGCGAGGGTGGTGTTAGCAGTATTGGTTAAAGAATCAATTGCAATTGAGAAGGGGTGATATACTAAATGTGTTAACAAATGAGGCTTTTGGGTTGAGTTTAGGAATTTAAAAAGGTCAGCCTTACTATTAGGAGTATACTACAGACCCCCAAATTGTGACAGGGAGATAGAACATCATATGTAGACAAACTTCTGCCTGCAGGAGTCAGAAGACAATAGCAGGAGAGAATAACTATCCCAATATCAACTGGGTCAAAAATACATGTACTGTGTCCAGGAAGACCTATAGGAGAAGACTCAATTCTGGATTTAGTTTTGGGAAATGAAGATGGTCATATGGGTGGAGTGACGTTGGGGGATAGTGACCCCGATTTGATTAGATTTTACGATTTATGGAAAAGGACAGCGATAAATCAGGTGTAAAAGTTTCTAACTGGGGAAAGGCAAATATAAGAAAACAGAAGTGATATGGCTATTGTCAACTGGGCATGGTTGCTAAAGGATAACTGTTTAAACCAGTGGGAGGCACTTGAAATGAGATCCTTTGGGCACAAAGCAGATGTGTCCTCCAAAAATAAGAATGGTACTGCTAAATCCAGACCCCCATGGTTGTCTAGAAAAATGCAGCGGAAGATTAAACAGATTTATGATGATAATCACAAAATAAAAATTGAAAATAGCCAAGAGGAGTAAGAAAGTACTAGGATCAAGTTTAAAACAAATTGGGAAATCAAAAACAGAATGAAAAAGTATTTGCAAGCAAGATTAAAAATCTAAAAATGTTTTACTGGTGTATAAAAAGCAAAAGGATAACTGAGAAAGTGAGACTGAACAGAAATGAAGGAAACTTGTGTGAAGGTAGAGAGGATATGGGAAGAATTTTAAATGTTTTTTTTTGTCTCCGTATTCACAAAGGAAAGGGATGGCATGGATAAAGTAAACTAAGAGGAAGACTATGAAATATTGGACAAATTAATCATAGTTAGAAGAAATGTTAGTGGAGTTGGAATCTTTGAAAGTGGATAAGTTGCCAGGGCTGGATGGATTGTTCCCTAGGATGTTGGAGGTCAGAGGAAATGGCAGATACTCAGGATTATTTTCCAATCTTCAGACACCAGTGAGGTGTTAGAGAACTGGAGGAATGAAAGTGTGTTTTAAAAAGGGTACAAAGGAAACGCTAAACAGTTATAGGCTAGTTAGTCTAATGTTAGTGTTGGGCAAATTGTTACAATCAGCTTTGAGAAATTAGATAAACTGCCACTTAAGCATGGATCAGTCAGCATGGCTTTAAGGGAAGGTCATGCCTTAGAAATTTTGAATTTTTTGAGGTGACAAGGAGGATCAGTGAGGGTAGTACAGTGGATGTTGTCAACATGACTTTTATTAAGGCAATTGATGAGGCCCCATATAGCAGACTAGTCAAAAAAAAATAAGCCCAAGGGATTTGGGGTAATGTCGAACTTTGGCCTATTAACAGGAAACAAAGGATAATGGTTGATGGCTGCCCTTGCAAATAAAGCTGTTTCAATTATTCTGCAGGGCTTGGTGTTGGAACCCTTGCTGTTTGTTTTATACATTAACACTTTGGACCTGAATGTAGGTCACAATTGGGAAACTTGCAGATGACACAAAAATTGGCCATGTAGGGGATAGCTGTAAGCTCAAATGATATTGATGGGTTGATGTATTAGGCAGCAAGTGGCAGATGCATTTAACTGTGTGGTAAACAGTAAAAGGGATACATAATAAATGGGAATACACTGAGAGGGTTAGATAAAGTGAGAGAGGTGCAAGTGCAGAGGTCCCAAAGGTAGCAGTACGGTAGATAACGTTGTAATGAAAGCATGTGGAATGCTCTCTTTCGTTGGTAGGATACAAAAGGGATATAATGATGAGATTGTGTATAAGAAACTAGTGAGGTCGCAAATAGAGTATTATTTGCAGTCACCACATTACAGGAAGGATGTAATTGCTCTGGAGAGAGAAGATTTACTGGAATGTTGCCAGAGTTGGACAGTTGTAGCCACAAGATTGAAGAGGTTGGAGCTGTGTTCCTTGGAACAGAGAAGGCTGAGGGATTACATGATTGTGAGGGGTAGAGATAGAGATAGACAGGTGGAACCTATTTCCCTTGGCAGAGCACTCAAAAATCGGGTTATAGATTCAAGTGGCAGAAGGATTGGAGGTGATGTGAGGAAAAACTTTTTTTAATGCAGTGGGTGGTGGATATCTGGAATTCGCTGCCTGAGTTAGTGGTGGGGACAGAGACCCTAAATTTATTTTTAAGGAAAAAATTGCCTGGATGGGTACCGTTTAAGTGCTGTAAGCTGCAGGTCATGTGCGGGTGGATGGAAGTAGAAAGGGCCTATGGCTGTCTCTGGGTGGGCATGGGAAAGATGGGCCGAATGGCCTCCACTGTGCTGTATCCCTATGGTAATTTAGAAGGACATTCCAAGGTGCTTCACGTGTGTTTAGACAAGAATGAGTGATTTTTTTATTTGAGTTGCACGTCAAAAAAAATTATTGGTCAGAAATGTTGGATTTGAAGGATGTGGAGGAGAGATCCTGGGTCCTCGGGTGTAAACCTGCATGACCTTGATCTCTGCTCTGCCCTCTGCAACTGGATCCTCAGCTTTCTGACCCATAGGCTGCAATCAGAGAATATAGGTAACTGCACCTCCTCCACAATAACACAACACTGGAGCCCCCAGGGATGTGGCCTCAGCCTCCTGCTGTACTCCCTGTATGCGCACAACTGTGGTGCCAACTTCCAAATGAATGCCATCTACAAGGTTGCTGACGAAACCACCATAGTGGGATAGATACTAACGAGTCAAAATACAGAAGGGAGATAGAGGGCTTGGTAATGTGATGCAACAAAAACAGTCTGTCTCTCAACGTCGGCAAAACCTAAAGAATTCATCATTGACTTCAGAAAGAAAGGAGGAGAACATGCCCCCATCTACGTCAACAGAACTGAGGTTGAGCGTGTGAAGAGCATGAAGTTCCTCAGTGATGATAACCGACCTGTCCTGGACTTCCCACGTAGATGCAACAGTCAAGAAGTTTACTGTCTGGGTGCATAACGGCCTGGTATGGCAACTGCTGTGCCCGGGACCGCAAGAAAAGACTGGTGGTGTGCACAGCCAGACCATCCTGGAAGCCAACCTTCCATCCATGGACTCTATTTACACAGCTTGCTGCTGCAGGAAGGCAGCTAACACCCTCAAAGACCCATCGCACGCTGGTAATGACCTACAACGCCTTCTGTCAGGAAGAAGGTATAGAAGCCTAAACGTGCATGAGCAGACTCAGGAACAGCTGCTTTCTGGCTGTTATCAGACTGTTGAATTGAGGCTAGCCTCAAATAATGTAACCCGTATGCCTCAGTCTTTTTGATCTGTACATCCTTTTTTGCTTGTTGTGATCTGCCTGTATTGCGGTACACCTGACAATAAGCCAATCCAATCAAAAGACTTGGGCTTCAGCTGTGATTCAAAGGGACTGGGAAAGTGCTCAAGAAACTTCCTATTGGAATGCAGATGGGAAGAGAGGTATCCATGATTTATCTTGAATCCAACAATGGAAGCATGGAGAATCGGAAGCCGGTATAGATCATTAAGTCTATAAAATTTGAGAAAATGGCTAACTGAAGTTTGGAAAGGATTCCAATCAGAAGATCATTGAATCTGGCAGTGTTGAAAGTATGCATGAATAGACATGAATAGGAAACATTTGAGATGGAAGTTAGTTATTTTTGTGATGGTGAGGATGTAGAACTTGAAAGCTGATCTCATCTGAGGTCTCTCTGACTTAGTGAGAACAGTTTTTGTTTCAAGTTGAGACAGGAAAGAGGAATTAATTAATGATGAGAATTAAGTTAGTAGCTGGAATGGATGTCAGACAAGCAGTCTGACAGCACTGAGAATTGAGGAACTAGTGACATATTAGAACTGGTGTTAAGTGTCTGTTGAACCTGATCTTGCATATTTGGATTTTATCATAATGGTGTGGAAGCCAGAAGGGATTGGCACTAAAAGGAAGGAAAATCATTTTTGAAGGTTGTCTGGTTGTGATAGAATAATTTACAAGTAGAACCACTTGAGAGCAGTCCCACTGACCTGGATCCTGGTGAAGAGATTTTGATGTCAAAGGTTGCAGAGAAGACAGCAGTGGATAGTGTACCACAATCTTTGAAGATGTTGTGACTTCAGTTACAATTTTCAGTGCTGTGGCAGGAAAGAAATCCAAAACCTAAGTTGCAGAAGATAGGCATGAATTTGAATGTTGACAACACACTTCAGGATTTAAAAGGGAAAGATGATGTTTAGACAGTAATTTAATAAAATGATTGAGTATTTTTAAGAAGTCTTGTCGTGGCTGTTTTGAATGGGATGAGGATACTATCTGAGACCTGGAATGCTCATGCAATGACAGACAGCATGAAAGCAATGAAATGAAGTTGAGTGGATTCACGGGAGCAAATTGTCGTATTCATGTCTTAAGAGATCATGAGTGTCAGTCGTAAGGAAACTAGGCACTGGCTCAGGGCTCAAGGCCAAAGAAAGCTTTTCTGCAGTTTGACCTTGATGGTAAGGGTCACGGTGAAATTCAACAGAGGCAGTAGAATGTATGGCCGCATTCTTAATTACAAAGTTCATGAAGGACTTAGAGTGGCAGTAGAAAAGGTAGGGGGATAAGAGTGCAAGTTCGTGGTCATCAAGGAAACCAGGATTTATCTTTGTTCGTAGAGTGAAATGAAGGGAGTCCCAGAACTATGGTCCAGCTAGATCTAGGATGGTTAACCATTTGTGCCAAACTCTGTGTCTCTAACTTGAAACGACAATTGGCCGTGCCAGGATATTGATAGGTGTTAGAGAATTGCAGAAGGATGTCATTCAGCCCTTTTGTCAGCACTGGAAATCATTTTTAATCAGGCATGATTTGACACCTCTCTGGTGGGTGGGGCCTGAACTGAGACTTCCGTTCCAGAGATAGGGACACTACCACACTGCTGGAAGGGCACTTAAGCAGAATATGGATTGTACTAGAAATTGGGGGTGAAGGGAATATCGGAAGTGAACATGATGGAATGGCAGAATAGATTTTAAAAACTGTAGAAGTATTATGGCAAATCACAAGCCAAAGGCTAGGCTTGAGAGTTTATTCCAGAACGAAATGTGGTTGAAGATGGGATTTAAACAGACTAGAAGAAGGTCAGTATGAGGGTAGAAGGAAGTGATCAGATATAATTTTGAGATCAAGGGAATAAAAAGCCACAAAAGTAACTGTAATTGAGGCTCATTTTATGAATAAAATGAGTAAATCAAACTGTTATCTTGAGTGAATTTTTTAAGTTCTTGTTTGAGAAGTTCCAAATTTAATACCCAAATCAGAATCTGTTTAATATTTAGTATTCGTTATTTTCAACAACGCTCAAAGCAGAATCTTATTTACCCATTGATCATCAAAAGTCTTGCTAATATTTTGGAGTTTGGACAAAGAAGAACAAGCTTAAAAATACACAACTAAGGTACAATCTCTAGCATTAATTGAAGTCTTTTTGGCCTTAAATCTCCAAGTGAAGTTACCTTTTTTGTTCTTTTATCCTAGGTCCCTTTGCAATAATCAGTTTGATGGTTGGTGGTGTTGTTATAAGACTTACACCTGATCAAATGTTTGATGTTACTTCTATGAATGCAACTAATCGCACTGGATTTCATGAGACAAGAGCTGCAGTGAGAGTTAAAATAGCAGCTGCAACAGCTTTCCTTTCAGGAATTATGCAGGTAATCAGGAGATTAAGCTAGTCAAGGAAAAAGGAAATGTAAACTTGTGTGCTTTACTGTGAATTATTGGTACTTGTCTGCATTGACATTTTTATTTTTTTTTTGATTAAACATTGACTATAATTAGATTTTGTGTGGCTGCAATGGATAAGTTTTCTTTGGAATTAGTAACCCTGTCCTGCTTTGCTAGTTCAAGGAACCTGGTGTAGCCTGCAGACAATGATGACAAAGTAAAATTTATTTCACTTTGATAGAAATAAACCAGATATTATCAAATTAATTTGTCTCCTTTTTCAAACAGTTGTGCCTTGGGGTTATACGATTTGGGTTTGTGGTCGTTTACCTGGCAGAACCTGTAGTGCGAGGTTTCACTGCTGCTGCAGCTTTGCATGTCTTTCTGTCCCAGTTGAAGTATCTTCTGGGAATCCAAACCAAAAGGTTTGGTGGACCACTGTCAGCAATTAATGTAAGTAGCTATATACAGCATTTTAAAAAAAAAACTATTTTCACAAACATAAAAATCAAGTGTTTTTTTTTGTTTTGAATTGAATTTTGGTGGAGAAAAAATTGAATTGACTTTTCCACTTGTTTAATTATTTGTCTAGTGTTCTTTCCTGCTATTCTTAATAGTGAACATGATAGTTTCACGTCCTAATAACTGGCTTCTCTTCTGAGTCAAAGACGAATCTTATTCTTTCTGGCTATTCATTTCCTGTCAGCTGAGAGGTTCTGGTAGAGTAGTGACTTGTGTTTTATTTACCTGCTCAAGATAAAATCTCACATTTTGTTAAAATGTCACATTACAGTTTTTCAAGTCCCTTTTGTTGATGGCCAATTCTGTTTTATGTTCCAGACTTTTATTGCTGTGTGTACTAATATTAAAGGAAGTAATGTTACAACAGTAGCTCTTGGGGCAGTTTGTATTGTCTTCCTGCTGGTGGTAAAAGAAATAAACGTACGATACAAAGATAAGCTTCCAGTTCCCATTCCTGTTGAACTTGTCATGGTAAGAAAATTCTTTTTGTTCCCTTTTTAAGTTTTTTTTTAAGCTTGAACATTGTTTCTCTGCCAAACATCATTAGAAATTTATTTTTTAATCAGTAGTGCACCTATATTCACACCTTGGTTCAAATTATTTCCTTAAGTCCTTTTAAGCATATGAAGTACTAATGGCAGGCTAGCTGAAACATAAAGGCAAACATAAAGGCTAACATGTAAGGCACAAGGGAAATTGGGCTGTACCTTAAACACTTGCATTTCTTTGCTTCTCTCCCCAATGTTTGGAGGTAATCTTCCTCGCCCACCAATAAGTGACTGCAACTGTAGAATTGGGTAACTTTTGACTGACAAAATTGCACTTGTATCTCTCCATTTATAACCTTGAGACATCTCAAATATTTTACAGAAAGTGCTGTAATAAGTATTGCAACCACTGTCCTAGTGTGGCAAACAATATCAATGCACGTGCTATATGATCTGACAGACAATAACAAGCAGCCAATTTGTTCAACCAACATTGCTAAGATTCTGGGGAAAATTCTTTTAATTTGTGATGATATCATGGAAAGATGCCCTCTTTTGTGTTAATCTGAGAAGACAATCAGGGGCTCTGCTTTAACAGCACAGCTGAAGGATGACCTTATTTTCAGAGTTCCACTATAATATCAGACTAGAATTGTGCCAGGATTGAAGGTTTCAGTTACGGAGCAAGACTAGAAAAGTTTGGGTTCTTTTTCTTAAAGATGAGCAAAACAAGTCTGTTTTTAAAATAGAGGTGCTCAAAATCATCAAGAATTTTGATAGAATAAATGATGAGAAATAATGATCATTGACTGGCGGTTCAGTAACCAGAGGGGACAGGTCGCCATCAAATGAAGCAATTGGCATGAGAAGTTTTTTGACAGTGCACTACAATAATTTGGAAAATCTTGATAAACCCACAATGGAAGAATAATAATGAAAGAAGCTAAATGGACAGCTCTTTCAAAAGGATCAGTATAAACATGATGGGCTGAATGAACTGTTGTTTTGTATCATTGTATGCTTATAAGAAATTTCTAGAGTGTGATTTTTTAACTTGAGTCTTCTGACTCTAAAGTGGGTGTGGCACCTCTCAGCCTCTACAGTGAACTTGGCCAGTTAAGCAGTCTTTGGAGTGGCCCAGCTATGCCTTTATTCTGGTTTTTCTTCCCTTTCCTCCACATCCAAACTGCACCCCCACCTCCTAATTCTCTGAAATCAGTTCTAGAAACCAGTCAAAAACTCAGGCACAGGAGACTAGAGATGGAAGCAATTTTTTAATTTTTATAGTACTTTTTGATACAATACCTTTTCCCAATTCAAATATTGGTTATGAATTTGTTTTTCTCTTTAGGTAATTATTGGCACCGGTGTTTCTGCTGGGATGAACCTGCATGAGAACTATGAAGTGAATATTGTTGGTCATATACCTACTGGGTAGGGAAAACATAGGGCTAATTAATCAAATTTGTTTCAGATGCTACAATACAAATCAAAACATCCAATGGTTGCATACAAAGTCAAGGCTACGTCTTTTTTCTTTTTTTAAAGCATTATACGAAGGCGTAGATATAACGTGACCTTGATTAGAAAGGAGTAAAAGAGGTGACATGGTGTGGAAAAATGGTGAGTGTCTTTGGGCTAGACTTTTGGTGCTGTACTAACAGCAGAAATGATAGGTCAATGGTGAAATAAAACTTTCCTGGATTGAAGTGGGATGGATGACATAGTGGATTTATTTGCATATGAGAAGGTAGTGTTGTGAGGACACAGGTTCAATCCTGAATAGGAATGAACTTCCAATTATGAAAGTTATTAGGGAATGAAGGAAATGAGATTGATCTGACAATCATGAAATTATTGAATGGTGTAGCAGGCTCAAAGGGCAGAGTGCCTTACTCCTCCTCCTTGTTTGTATGTTCATAACTTGAGTCTATTTTCTTTTCCGGGGTGGGATGGAGATATTACATGTTTTTGCTCACTGAACAATTGTGGGGAGTGACCCAAGTCTTTAAATTAGGATGGATAAAGTTATTGCTTTATAGCACTGGAGTGGGAAGAAGAGGATGTAATTTCTTCTTTAAGAGTCAAGGTTAGACCAGAATTCCTAGTTTAAGATGTCACCCCAAATATATGAACCATTGAAGAGTTAGCTATCCCAAATGTTACAGGTGCAAGCAAATTGTTTGCTAGCACCAAATTCCACTTGAGTACTTAACAGCATTTTTTTATTTTGTTTTGGAGCATGCAAAATAAACTGCTAGTCATCTTTCCTCTCTGGTCATGCGTTAGCCTCAAACAAGTGGTTGTCAGAAATACTAAGGTGTGGGTTAATGGGGCAGAACCAGCTATTGGAGAACGCATGATTTACAAGGTACAATTTCCCATGTACATGTTATGCTTATTCAGACTACTTGGTCATAAATAACCCCTACAATAAATGTTTCACGTTTCAAATATTTATTGTAATTCACAACTTGGAGATATTCAGGAATCTCATATTGAGCAAGTTGAATTAGGTTTTGTGTGGGACTCTAATCCCTCAACTAAAAATAATAAAAAGCTATTCTGCTTGTAAATATCCAGAAAGAAGAAGTGGAGTGCAGTAGCCTATTGCAATATTGTGCTCAGTTCCCTGTGGGATCACGTTACCATTAAGTTGAGACAACTCGACATTTTCAATAGATAGAAATAAAGTATCATTGTGTCAATACGTTAAGACTTCTCTTGCTAGTTATAGAAACAGATGTGACAATTTTACTTTAGAGTGAATATAATCCGTGAACGAATGGTCAAGGTAGATTTGGTAGTAATTTTCAGAGGAAATTGTGTCCGTAACTGGAAAAATTATGGAGAATGGGAGTGATGAGATAGCTCTTTCAAAGAGCAGCGTAAGCAGTTTGGGCCAAATGGCTGCCACGTCGACTGAATCATTGTGTAGTATGATCTAGCAGTGGTAATGTTTTAAAATAATTTCAAACTTCTGACATTATTATAGTCCATTAAAAGGGGAATGGAGCATCACTGAATTTGTTCATTAAGCAATCAAATCTGAATAATTTTGTTTTCTCAGCAAGGATTACTTAACTATAGTTTTTGTTCTTCCAATTCTTCAATTATTTATTTGTTCTGTATATGCCACTATATGTAGCTCAGTATTTGCGGTTAGCTAATTGGCAGATTTGCAGTGCAAAGTGATGCCAACAATGTAGGTTCAGTTCCCACATCACTTGAGGTTACCATTAAAAGTTCTGCCTTCTCAACCTATCCCCTCACCCTCCATTTTAAACTTGCCACCAGTCATTTTTCTCATGAGAAAACGGCCTTGTAAACCACTAGGGCTATAGCAGCCTTCACTTTACAATTCATGACACAGTTGAAAACTTTTTTTGCTTTTTGAAATAGTGCCATGGAATCTTACACTTGACAATGCAGACAAGTCTTGGCTTAATTTCTCATCTGAAAGATGACACCTGAGAAAACCTAGAACTCCTTCAGTACTGGGCTAGTGTGTCAGCCTGGACTTTTGAAATGAAATCACTGAAGTAGAACTTGTATTTACAACCTTCTGTTTCACAATTAAGTGGTAGCAGTTGACCCATTGCTAGACCCTTTTATAGTTTTGCCCATGTCCTGTGGATGAAATAAAAGTATATCTATTATATTCTAAACCATCCATAGTTTAATTGGATAATTAATAAATACTCAAGCTTATTCTCCCTTTACACTGGCATTCATTGTATTTATGCAAAGAAAAATTTCAGGATTGTCTTGAATTTTTTTAAATCAATTTCAATATATTTCTGTCCTGTTCTCTCAATTTAAAATATTCTATATTTGCCTTTTGTCATACTTGCACAAGATGGCATTCTCCTGTTTGTTCTTGTTTAACATTGGGGTCAGTCTCTGTACTTCAGCACTGATCCTTGATTGTTATCCTGAGCGGTGATCAAAGACCGCTTATCTTTTATCTTTTTCCAGCTGAATTATTGCAGTTTTCTGTATAGTTAACTGATGTGTAGAGGATAAGAAGTTGAGCCATTATTCATTTGTTCTACTTCCTAAGTGAATGGAGTGCAGTTTGTACCCTGCTTCCTTATTAAATGTTCTAGTTTTATTGAAATTAACTTTCACTATTTTGTGAACTGATGCAGGCAATCACATCTTTTGCCTTCTGTACCTGCTCATCAATCATCTTGGTCACAAGCCAGTTTATTGGTCTGCATTTAGAATGTGTTTTTGTAGTTTCACAATGATCCCAGAATTTTGAATGCGGAGCAGCTAATATTGGTGTATTTGTCATTTTTCAGTTTGAGAGCTCCAGTTCTACCTGACTTCAGTTTACTGTCTGAAATATTCATGGATTGCATTACAATTGCAGTAGTTGGATTCTCAATGACTGTATCGATGGCAAAAATATTTGCTATGAAGCATGGTTACAGTGTAGATGGTAATCAGGTAATAAGTGCAGTTTTATATATCTCCAATTTTATAATCAAAGCTTTGGCAAATCTAATGATAAAAGGACTTACTAGTAATGACACCTGAGACCTTGTTGGGGAAACTTTCATTTGTTATAAAACTTTTAAGTATTACGTACTGAAAGTTTTCCTAATCTCTGAATTGCATAAATTTATTAGAATCAGCATTATGCCTATTGACTGGTTGTGTGTCTGCCCTCTTGCAAATGCAGTTATTAGGTTGGTTGGTGATGAAGGGTGGAAATGTTGCAATAAGGGGAAAGCAATACCTTTAAATAAACTACTTGTCTATAAACTGGGACCCTTACAGTAAGAGTGTCCTCCTAACCCTTGCATTAGAATAAATATATAATGCTGATGAGAATATTTCTATCTTTAACGTTGTCATCTTGTATATCGATTTCTAGATGGCATGTTCACTTTTCTTTTAAAGTGGACAACAGTTTGTGCAAAATAACAAGATTGAACGTATTTTCCATTTGCATGTTTGTTGCCAACTTTATCCGTTATCAGAAAATGTATGTAATATTTTTCCAAACTTTTCAAACATTTTTTTAAAATTCTTTCTCCAGGAACTTATTGCATTAGGTATTTGCAATACTTTTGGATCCTTTTTCCAAACATTTCCTGTCACCACCTCAATGTCCCGAAGCCTTGTGCAAGAGAGCACTGGAGGAAAAACTGAGGTATAAATTTGCAGCCTCTACTGTTCAGTGGCGAGCATTAACTAATTTTTAGATAAGCATGTTCTTTTTAAATTTTTCTTTACACACTAGACAATAAAGTATAGAATGTTTGTTTGTTTCATAGGGAGTTTATTAGTTTGATCTTTCGACATACAAGACCGTAAGACACTTACTACTAGCTGATAGTTCTTCTATATGGCAAGTAGGTTTATGGGTTGTTTTATTTTTATCTAAGTTGGTTAAATATTCAGACAAGTGCAGGCTGGACAGTAGTGGGTTTCATTAAACAATCTTTTATTCACATTTTTTGCATAGATACAGTAGCAGACTTTTTGGTCATGTATATATCCCAGCTTGTCTCTAGGTCTAATGAATATGCAGATAAACCTATCTCTATTTTTCCCCCAATATATTCTCATTTCATGTCTGAAAGTGTGACCTTTTAACACAAAAACATTTAACTAGATGGAATTCTATTTAACATTTTCTTTCTAACCTTCCCCATTTTCCCCCAAAGTCTCTTATTTGCGGATTTAAGTCCTGTAGAAGTTGTACTGTCCACTTTCCATAGATTAGAGTAATATGGAAGAGTGGATGGTCTGTGGACTGGTTGATGAGATGGTCTGGTTAAGCAGTTAACAACATCTCAGACATGGTATTTGAAGTGGTCATCTGTGACTGACTGACATTGGCCAAATGAGAACAATCCTATTTCTACAAGAGACCAAACAAAGTCTGGATGACACTCCTTTTCACTTCAATTGTCTAGCGATGGTTTTTTGTCTTTGGATTATCCGTTTCTAATGCAAACCTGCTGACCTAGTGCCAAGGAAAACTGTTATAGCCCAGTACTGAGAATTGAACCAATTAATTTATATAGTTGACTAACCTATTCTGTGGTTTGCACCATGTGTAATATGGGGTTTCAAGGTACTATCCAAGGTAGAAAACTGAAAATTAGAGGCCATTTTGTAAAATTGAGGCTCTGTGTAGTTGAGTAGTGCCAAGATCTGGGTGGTATTCTTGTCATTAGTATCTTGACCACACATTCAGCATCCTCAACAGCTTGAGGATAGTCCATAAAGACTGTCAGTTTCTGACTGAGTGCATCAGCTGCAGCATAAACTGCTGGACTCGCATGAGTATCTTGATCTCCTTGACCTTTTGAAAAGGACACACAAGGGTTTGAAGTCAATTACAACCTGAAAATGTAGCCCCATCAGCAGTCAGGCCCACATGACTGTTTGTTTGCATACCTTTTGCTCTGTCTCTATCAAGAAGCAAGGTGGAAAGTAAACTGGTGCTTTTCTAATACTATCAGATTAGAGTTGAATAAGAACAGTTCCAAGGCCAGTAGAAGAGGCATCCACTCTGATGGCAGTGGACAATTTGAGATTGTCATGGGCCAGCCCATCATGAGAGACCAGTTGTTTAATCTATTCAAATAACCCTATCCTGCTGAACTTCCCAGTACCACTGGCTTCCGCAGGTCTCTTGCAGCTTCTGTGATGAAAGGGAAGTTTGAGAGAGATTTAACCGCTTATTAACCATGCCTAGGAAATGCTAAATGTCTAAAACATTCTTGAGTTTCAGAAAATTGGTCACCGTAATTTTCTATGGGTTGCTGTGCAGTTGTTGGTGACATGGCCATAGAATTTAAGGTGTTTGAAGAAAATTTTATATTTTTCAAGTTGAGACCAAACTCTGCAGGACGTTAAAACACCTTTTGACTGTTATCATGAATCTGAGGTAGACCCTTGGATCAAAATGTCCTCCATATGTCAAATATCCCCTTTTTTATAATTTATCCCCCTTCAGAAATTGTAGATTTAGACATTTTGAAACACAGGCCCATTGCATCTGCACTGGTCAAAAAAACACCTCATTGGAAGTATCTCCTGGGGCTAGTAGTATGCTCAATGAGGGTCAATAAAAAGCAATAGCAATCAAAGTAACAATTGTAGTCAGCACCTTGGACTCCTAGACCGGTGGGTTTTGCGAGAAGCACCTGTTGGCATTCGGTTTAGTAAAAAGTGTGCTTTTGGTGAGTTTTGCTTGGCTTTTGTCAACTGACTGTCTTGAGTTATATTGACTCTTTGACAAAGCTGTTCAGTTTTGGAGCATTGATCAAGCTGGCAGCTGAGTCGGCTTCTTAACAGGGAAATGATAGCTGTTTTGCAGCATTACATCCAGCTCTGCTTTAACTTTGACCAGTAACTGGTGCAGGACCTTCCTTGGGGTAAATGAACATAGCAGCTTCGTTTCCATTTGACGCTCTTGCAATCCCTGGAAGAGCAGTAGAATTTCTGCTGAAAAGGTATCCATTACACTCTCCAGAAATCTGGTGTGTATGCTGTACCAGACCTAATGGAACACATGTCTGGAAACATAACTATAAAAAGAGATTCTTCATTGACCACAAGAGGGCTTCAGTAACATGATAACAATTGTAGTTGAGAATAGCTTTGAATTGCTGTTTGGCAGCATTAGTCTGCATACCAATCCCTTGTGACCTGATGTCATGCAGTGTGAGGCGCGCAAGCAAGCACAAATGGTCTTTGATGCACACTATATTCAGCACTAATTTAAGTGTCAAAACCTCTGATTTTCAAAATAAGTTCCATTTTCATCCTTCTAGAAACTGAGGAACATACTAACCCACAGTGCTACTCAATTGCAGGATGCCTGCTTAATTTCTAAATGATTCCATTGCTGCTTTTGAGTATTCATCCTAGATATTTCCCTTTTAGTGATCTTCAGACTTTTGTTTTCTTTCCTTTTGATATTCTGCTATATGCTTTCCTTTAATCCTCATTTTCACTCAATACTGCAATTCTAGAAAAGTTAACAAACCATCCTAACTCCTGATATCTTTGGATTTCCAGAAGGCATTTGATAAGGCACGACACATGAAGCTCATTTTTAAGAGAAGAGCCCATACTGTTTGGAGGCAGTATATTAGCATGGTTAGAGGATTGGCCCACTATTGGACAAAATTGGGACAAGGGGAGAATTACTTCAGGATGACAACTTATGACTAGTGGAGTGCTGCAAGGCTGGGGTCACAATTATTTAGAATATATATTAATGACTTGGATAAGGAAAGTGATGTACTATAGCCAAGTTTATTGACAATAGATAAGAAAGCAAGTGGTGAGAATGATTCTTCATTCTGTGCAGACTGATTTGAGTGATCAAGAACTTGGCAGATGGAAGATAATATGGAAAAATGTACGGTTGTGCACTTTGGCAGGAAGAATAGAGGAGCTAAATAATATTTGAATGGCGAAAGACTGCGGAAGGCTACAGAACAGCAGGATTTGGGAGACTTTGTCCATGAATCACAAAGCTAGCATCCAAGTTCAAGAAGTAATAGGGAAAGTATGCAGAATATTAGCCTTTATTTCCAATGAAGTATGAAAGTTGCTAAAACTGTTCAAGGGACTGGTCTGACCACAGCTGGAATACTTAGAACAGTTTTAGACCTCTTATCTTAGGAAAGATATACCAACATTGGAGGCAGACTAGAGAATGTTCACCAGGCTGATAACAGATATGGAGGGACCCTTTTTGAGGAGAGGTTGAGTAGATTAGGCCTGTACTCGTTGGAATACAGAAGGCCTTCATGAAACATACAGTATTCTTGGTGAGCCTGACAAGGTAGATGCAGAAGGTTTGTTTCTTGTGGGAAAGTCTAGGAGTACGAGCATGATCTCAGAATAAGGAGTCAAATTTATGACTGAGGAATTTCCTCTTTGTCACAGAGGACTGTTGAGCCCACAAGTATATTCAAGACTGAGATTTTTTTATTCTGCAGAAGAAGCAAATGTCATGGGGTGGGGAGAGCAAGAAAGTGGAAAAGTGGAATTGAGGATTAGCAGATCAGCCACAACCTGCCTCAATTGAGCTGCCTGAATGAATCAGTTGAATGGTCCATTTCTGCTCTTACGTCTTATGGTCTTATGTATTTAGTATGTATTGCTTCCATTTTGTGTTTAAATATATCCTACTCTTCAATCATATTAATTCCCAGACGTTGGCTTTTCATTTGGGCTATAACATTATGGTCCTTTATTCTAGTTAATGTTGCCAAGGTCTCTAGTTTTAGTTTTAATGCTCTGTGCCTAGTGACTTTTTCTACCTAAGCTAGTGACAGGGAGCTCATTTGAGACTATTATATGGCTTCAAACAACTATTAGAGGGTAGTTACTGTTGTTCTTTGGAAGCTAACCATATGACAACCCTGTGAATCCTGATTGGGAGGGGTGAGGGGAAGAATACTTTGTTTCCAGGCCTTTAATTGATTTTTGTTTTGTTTTTGTAGATTGCTGGCGGAATATCTGCTTTAGTTGTGATGTTGATCATTGTTGCTTTTGGTTATCTCTTCGAAACTTTACCTCAGGTATGTCTAGGATTAGTGTTTTCATTCAACTTTTTGTTGCTAAAATATCTTTGTCTTAAAAAAAACTTTTCACTTCACTTTAAAATGTTCTTTCCTCCTGGCTGCTATTGACTGTACAAACACATGTTCTCTAAACCTAATCAGTGTTTTTACTGTTAATTTGTATTTAACTACCACCAGCATTACAGTTGAGTCTGACCTTCCCCAGTGTTTGTGCATGCATGCTGTGTGTTAATAACCTAGGAGCCTTTTAATTTTCTTCTCCATCCAATTGTGATGAATTAAAGTAATTCAGAAGGGTTCCTTCTGGTTTAAAAACAAACTGGAGTTTGCTATAATTAGTTGATAAAATAACTGTTTCAATAACTGGCCACATGAATGTCATGTAGCACTTTGATTCAGTTTTGTGGAACCCATAATAATTCACAAATAAGTGCGTTTGTGAGGTTTCCCATGCCTTCTAACTTTGGCGTATTAAAGTGTGCACTTGACTTCAATGTGCAAGATCACAAAATACTGAAGAAAATTTAGCGCATCTTAGCTCTGACTTCCACAAGCATCATGTGTTCTCTTGAAACGGGGTATCCACTTATAAAATGGTTCCAATTTTTACCTTGATCACTTGATCCAGAAATATATTCAATTGGCCAGTAGGTTTCTGAAATGCAATTTTAAATTTGTTGTCATCTCCGTTTCATATGGATGTTGGGATGTACATTGGCGAAATGCAAAGTCATCAATACTTGATCTGCTGGTACAGGTTTGGAGGGCTAAAGGACCTGTTCCTGTGATATACTGTTTGTTCTTTTTACCTCAGCCCTACTTCTAAATGCCAGTCACTTCAGTATTGATCTATTGTACAAGTTGAGATCTTTTTCCTCGGAAAAGACTGAGAGGAGTTTCGACAGAGCTATTCAAAATGAGGGGTCTGGGTGTAATTGTTGCCATTGGCGGAAGTATCAGGTACAAGTCACAAATTTAAAATATTTACCAAAAGAAAGCAGTGGAGACATGAGGAAAAACTTCATCATACAGTGAATTAGGATCTGTTATGCATTGAGTGTAGTGGAGTTAAGTTCAATTGAGGCATTCATGAGGGAATTGAATTGTTATCTGAAAAGGAATGTGCAGGGCTGCAGGAAGTAGGCAGGGGTTTGGGACTAAGTGTATTTCTGTTACAGAATTAGCACAAAAAGTAGACTCGCCTCCTTCTGGGTTGCAGCAATTCTGTTTGCACATCTCAGTGCTTGATTTGACGTTTTGGCATTGAGAAAATTGGTGTACTGTATGATCAGTTATTTGAGAATGAATTTTTTATTCCATTCATCTGGTGGAAACCACATGAGCAGTTGAATTGGAAAGGGAAACCTACCCAATGATCGTTTGACTTTGTAGCTGACTGTAAATTAAAATTAATTTGTGGGCGTTCCCCTCAATAAGTATACCACTTTGGATACTGTGGGCAGGGCGGGGGAGAAGAAACAACCTACCACAGGCAAGTCATAATGGCCAGGTCTCTGGCACCAAGTCTGACTCTGTGGCTCAGATGGGAATGGGGGTGAATAAAAGAGCAATAGTGACAGGAGATACAATGGTTAGGGAAACAGACAGGAGATTCTGTGGTCGCAATCGAGACCTCCGGATGGCATGTTGCCTCCCGGGTGCCAGGGTCAGGGATGTCTCGGATCGAGTCTATGGGATTCTTGAGGGGGAGGGTGAGCAGCCAGAAGTTGTGGTACTCATTGGTACCAATGACATAACTAGGAAAAAGGATGAGGACCTGAAAAGTGAACATAGCGAGTTGGGTTGGAAGCTAAAAGACAGGATGAGCAGAATAGTAATCTCAGGATTACTACCGGTGCCACGGGCTAGTGAGGCTAGAGTAGAGATCGAGTGCAGCTGAACATGTGGCTACAGAGCTGGTGTAGGAGGGGAGGGCTTCAAATATGTGGATCACTGGGACACCTTCTGGGGAAGGTGGGACCTGTACAGGAAGGATGGGTTGCCCCCGAACTGGAGGGGCACCAATACCCTGGGCAGGAGGTTTGCTAGAGCTCTTGGGAGGGTTTAAACTAGCTTGGCAGGGGGATGGGAACCGGAGCTACAGATCAGAGGATGGGGTAGCTGGTGTACAGGCAGATACAGCATGCAGAGAGTCTGTGAGGAAGGGTAGACAGTTGATAGGACAAAGTTGCAGTCAGTGTGACGGGTTGAAGTGTGTCTATTTTAACGCAAGAAGTGTCAGGAATAAGGGTGATGAACTTAGAGCATGGATCAGTACTTGGAGCTAAAGGGAGGCGATGACCTAGTAATATTACAGCTGGACTGTTAATCCAGAGAACATTCTGGGGACCTGGGTTCAAATCCCACCACGGCAGATGGTGGGATTTGAATTCAATAAGTATCTAGAGTTAAGAATCTAATGATGACCATGAATCCATTGTCTTTTGTTGGAAAAACCCTTCTGGTTCACTAATCCCCTTTAGGGAAGGAAACTGCCATCCTTACTTGGTTTGGCCTATGTGATTCCAGACCCACAGCAATGTGGTTGACTTTGAATTGCCTTCTGGGCAATTATGGGTGGGCAATAAATGCTGCCTAGCCAGCAAAGCCCTCGTCCCAGAAATGAATAAAGAATAAAGATGTTGTGGCCATCAGAGGCAGGAGTGGTTGTTGGATGTTCTGGGGTTTAGACGTTTCAAAAGAAATCGGGAGGGAGGTAAAAGAGGTATGGCAGTGGCATTTCTAATCGGGGATAGTATCACAGCTGCAGAAAGGGAGGTTGTCGAGGAGGGTTTGTCTACTGAGTCAGTATGGGTGGAAGTCTGAAATGGGAAAGGAGCAGTAGCTTTATTGGGAGCTATCTATAGACACCCCCCCGCCAATAGCAACAGAGACACTGAGGAACAGATTGGACGGCAGATTTTGGAAAGGTGCAGAAGTAATAGGGTTGTTGTCATGGCTGACTTCAACTCCCCTAATATCGACTGGAACCTCCTTGGCATAAATATTTTGGATGGAGCAGATTTTGTAAGGTGTGTCCAGGAAGAATTCCTGACTCAATTTGTCGATAGACTGACGAGAGGGGAGGACATATTGGATTTGGTGCTTGGCAAAAAACCAGGCCAGGTGTCAGATCTCGGTGGGAGAAAGTTTCGGTGATAGTGATCACAACTCCCTGAACTTTACTATAGTCATGGAGAGGGATATGAGCACACGGTATGGGAAAGTATTTAATTGGGGGAGGGGGAATTACAATGCTATTAGGCAGGAGCTGCGGAGCATGAACTAAGAACAGATGTTCTTAGGGAAATGCATGACAGAAATGTGAATGTTGTTTAGGGAGCACTTGCTGTGAGTGCTAGATAGGTTTGTCCCACTGAGGCAAGGAAGGGACGGTAAGGTGAAGGAACCTTGGATGACAAGACATGTGGAACATCTAGTCAAGAGGAAGAAGGAAGCTTACTGAAGGTTGAGGAAGCAAGGATTGGACAGGGCTCCAGAGAGTTACAAGGTAGCTGGGAAGGAACTGAAAAGGGTATGAAAAAGTCTGGCTGGGTAGGATTAAGGCAAACCCTCAGGCATTCTATACTTATGTGAGGAGCAAAAAGATGGCCAGAGTGAGGGCAGGGTCAATCAGGGATAGTGGAGGGAACTTGTGCCTGGAGTCAGAGGTCGGGGAGGTCCTTAATGAATATGTTGCTTCAGTATTCACTAGTGAGAGAGACTTTGTAGTGTGAGGACAGCATGAAACAGGCTGATGTGCTCGAACAAGTTGTTAGGAAGGAGGATGTGCTAGAAATTTTGAAAAACATGAAGTTAGATAAGTCCCCTGGGCCAGATGGGATATACCCAAGGTTACTATGGGAAGCAATGGAAGAGATTGCTGCACCTTTGGTGATCTTTGCATTTTCACTGTCCTCTGGAGTAGTACCAGATGATTGGAGGGAGGCAAACGTTATTCCCTTTCTCAAGAGAATAGGGATAATCTGGGAATTACAGACCAGTCAGTCTTCTATGGTGAGCAAATTATTGGAGAGGATTCTGAGAGTATTTATGATTATTTGGAAAAGTATAGTTTGATTAGAGATAGTCAGCATGATTTTGAGAGGCAGGTCATGCCTCACAAGCCTTAGTGAATTCTTTGAGGATGTGACAAAACACATTGAAGGTAGAGCAGTGGATGTGGTGTATATGGATTTTAGCAAGGTGTTTCATAAGGTTTCCCATGGTAGGCTCATTCAGAAAGTAAGGAGGCATGGGATTCGGGGAAGTTTGGGTGTCTGGATACCGAATTGGCTGTCCATAGAAGACAAAAGGTGTTAGTAAATGGCAAGTATTCAGCCTGGAGCTCAGTGACCAGTGGTGTTCTGCGGGGATCTGTTCTGGGATCTCTGCTCTTTAATTTTTTACAGATGACTTGGATGAGAAAGTGGAAGGGTGGGTTAGTAAGTTTGCTGATGAGAGGTTGGAGTTGTGGATAGTGTGAAGGGCTGTTGTAGGTTGCAATGGGACATTGACAGGATGGAGAGTGAGGCAAAGAAGTGGCAGATGGAATTCAACCTGGAAAAGTGTGAAGCGATTCATTTTGGAAGGTCGAATTTGAATGCAGAATACAGGGTTAATGGTAGGATTCTCAGCAGTGTGGAGGAACAGAGGGATCTTGGGGTCCACGTCCGTAGATCCCTCAAAGTTGCGACCCAAGTTGATAAGGTTGTAAAGAAAGTGTATGGTGTGTTGGCTTTCATTATCGGGGGATTGAGTTTAAGAGCTGCTGGGTTATAGAACATAAGAACATAAGAGCTAGGAGCAGGAGTAGGCCGTCCGGCCCTTCGAGCCTGCTCCGCCGTTCAATAAGATCATGGCTGATCTTTTCGTGGACTCGGATCCACTTACCCGCATTCTCACCGTATCCCTTAATTCCTTTATTGTTCAAAAAAAATCTACCTTATCTTTAAAAACGTTTACTGAAGTAGCGTCAACTACTCCACTGGGCAAGG